TTTCCACTAAACCTCTTGTGCATCCCTGCTTTACAAAGAGACCAACCTAGAAAATTAATTTTGAAATTGTTATTGCAAAATAACAGCATAGTATTAAAATGTAATGTTTCACAAAAACATGCATTTGTATAATAGAGTTGATGCAATGGGATATTTTATTGAAAATGTACAGTTAAAAAAGTTTAGTTTTTTTTTTTAAACTATTAACTGAAAATACAGGAACACACTTATCTTCCACATCTACCCGTACCATTCAAACTTCCTCCACAAGTTAACTATTCCTGATTAACTTCAACTTCCAAAACCAAACAAATTATAATCAGCAGACACACAGAGAGGAAGATCTCACAAATTAGGAGAACAAAGGCAATACAAATGAAAAGACACTGCCATATCTCTGTACCAATAGAATTCCAATTCTAATACTATAAAAACAATCAAAGAAAGCCAATACCAACACACATTACTGCCATGAACTCAAAATCTGTATTTACATTTGCTCATGGCTCAGCTGCAACGAGAATATGTACGATCGCTTAGGCACTCAGACTCACTGCTCCAGAGATCTACTCAAATATATTGCATCCAACAAGAATATTCATGACAGCAACTGCAAAATTTAAAAATTACACTATACAAACTTCCTACTACAAAGTCAATATATGATCTCTTGGGAGAAAAAAAAAAAAAAAAAGTAAATATAGTAAAGCAATCCAAATTCTATTTAAACCTAAGATCAGTGCCTCCATGCTCTTAGAGAAATTCTCAGACACATTAATGATATTTTATTTCTACAGATACCATCTCCTCAAAAATTTAATATAGACTTTTTTGTCTATTTCTCCTTTAGTTGTTACTTCTGATCAAATGTTATTTAGACATTAGGTGGCATTTTCTTACTCTCACCATGGATGCTTAGCTATCTTCAAACATAATCTCTAGTCCATCAGGTTGCAGTGGAATTTATTTCATAATTCATCCAAGACAATGAGTAATTAAGAAAGAAAAAACTCTTTTGGTAAAACTCTTTGCCTTTGGAATAGGTTATTTTTTAATTCAGACACCTATCTTTTATGAAAATAAAAAAAAAAATCAACTAAGGGTCTTTCCTCCCTTCCTCTGCTGGACAGTGCTCTTGACCAAATTCAGATTCAACATGAAATTACAAAAGCTCATAGTTACCTTATCAGCCCGTCCTATGAAAGAAGGTTTTCCAGCCAGTCCCAGGCAGATGGCACAAACAATGCTTGACTTCCCTGTTCCATTAGCACCTACAACCAAGTTCAGGGTGGGCCCTGGATATACTTCACAGGCATCATATATTCTGAAAAACACAGTAAGTTTTTGAATCTTACAGACACCATATTTCCTCGAAAAATGATTACTTTCTTAAAAACAAGTTATGATTTTACTGAATAAAACGTAAATTACCTAATCTAAACTCAATCCCCAAACACCATTTTGTAAGAAAACCTCAAGAGCGAAAATCAACATTTCAATAAAACTCCGTCAAACAGTCAGATTCCTACCAGCCAGAGTACTCACAAGAACTTCCTTCAAAATTACTGATTATAAAGAACGAAATCCAGAAACTTAATGACAATTTCTCTTGAATTTACTAGGGCATAATTTCATGTACTAAAAAAAAAGTAAAAAAAGACAAAACTGAGTGAGCTCAGTCAGTTCTATCATATTTAACTCCATCTGCGTGCTGTACCACAGTCGCAGGAGATTCCACTCAGTTAACCCACACGGCAGGTTCTCTCCACGCTCCGAACAGGGTATCGCCTAGCAAGGAAAGCATCGCTCCATGCAGGCCCTCTTGCAGCCGCCGCCACCCGCGGTAACCCCGCTCCGCGGCTGCGGGCCCTCGGAGAGGGACGGGCGGCAGAAGCCGCACACCCTCGAGCTGGCGGAGAGTGCCCGTCACTCACTCACTCACTCACTCACTTACTCACTCACAGGAAGTTCTTCATGAAGATCCGAACGATGGAGCCGAGGACGAAGGGCGCGGGTGCCTTACCGCCCTTCGCAGCCCTCCCCCCCGCGCTGCCATTTTCCCGCGCCGGCCCCTCGCCGGCCGCCGCCATCTTAGTCGCCATCTTAACCGCCACCACCCCGGCCCCTACCCGCCCTGCGGCCCTAACGCCAGGCCCGCGCGCCCGCCAAGCTCTTATGGCCTGGGAGGGCGGGACTAAATCGCTCTGGAGCTCTTCATTGGCGGGGAGAGCACGGTGCCGGCGCCCATTGGCTGAAGGGTCACGGGGCGTTGCGGCGGGCGGGGCGTTGCGGCGGGCGGGGCGTTGCGGCGGGCGGGGCGTTGCGGCGGGCGGGGCGCTGCGGCGGGCGGGGCGTTGCGGCGGGCGGGGCCGCGCGGCGCCGGTGGTTGGCCGCGGGGGGGCAGCAGCCCGCCGGCGTGTGAGGGGATCTGCTCTGCGGGGGGGGTGTGTTCGCTCCACTTGTTCATAAATAACGGGAAAAGTGACACGGGTTTACACGCGTTCGTCCAGAGACCAGACAACCTGCAGCGAGGATACGCGTCGTTCAAAAACGCTCCTAGGAGTGACATACTCCTGTCAGATGCCCGGCGTCTCTCAGCAGGAGAGGGCAGAGCCTCGAGGAGTGTTTAGTTTAAAGAACTTTCCACCATCTTTCATATATGAGGTTGTTTCCACCTTGCTGTGGGTTTTGGGGTCCGTAGGGACCCCTGGTGGCCTTCTATATGTGCTGTTGTTTTTCACCCTGGCTATGGAAGTTGCGCAAACTTGTTACTGAGGTGTCCACAGAGCCCCCGAACCGGATTGGGCTAGTTTGGCTTGTCACAAAGCTCTAAACCCCCCGTTCACCAACACTTCTGCATAAGCCATAAGCAACATTATGTGGAGACTGTGGGAGCTGGGCTCGTTCAGTCCATAGAAGAGTGAGGGGGGATTTCATTAATGCCCTGGTGGGTCCCTGTACAGCTACTGCAGCAATGAACAAAGGAACAAATAGTGAATATAACTGGATCCAGAAATTAACTGCGTGGGGAGTTTCCTATTTGGACAGAGCTGACTGAATGTTTTTTCTCTTACCATAAAACTGAACTTTGCTAGCAGAGAAATCTCAATGCACTTTCCCTAGTTTTCAAATGTTTTGTAGTCATTCTCTTCCTAGTCTGTGAATTTCCTCTTCCATAAACTGATATTTTCACGAATTTGTGGTGCACTGCTGGGAACAAGGTGAACTGCCTTCAGACCTTCGTGACGCTGTCATCGTCACCTTGTACAAGAGGAAAAGAGATAAATCAGACTGCTCAAATTACCAAGGTATTACTCTGCTCTCCATTGCTGGTAAAATCCTTGCAAGAATTCTTTTGAACAGATTAATGCCTGCCATAGCAGAAGATCTACCTGAAAGCCAGTGTGGTTTCCGAGCCAACAGAGGTACCACAGACATGGTATTTGTTCTCAGACAACTGCAAGAGAAGTGTAGGGAACAGAACAAAGAACTCTATGTTACCTTTGTTGATCTCACCAAGGCTTTCGATACTGTGAGCAGAAAAGGTCTATGGCAGATTTTGGAACATTTAGGATGTCCTCCCAAGTTCCTCAAAATGATCATCTCACTTCATGAGGACCAGCACGGTCAAGTCAGATATGGGGACACACTTTCTGAGCTGTTTCCAATAGCCAATGGTGTGAAGCAAGGTTGCGTTCTCGCACCAACTTTATTCACAGTCTTTTTCAGCATGATGCTTTAAAGGGCCACAGCAGACTTTGATGATGAAAACGGTGTCTACACTCGATATCCTACCGATGGGAGCCTATTCAACCTGAGGCGACTGAAGGCCCACACTAAGACCTTAAATCATCTTGTCCGTGAGCTGCTTTACGCTGATGATGCCGCCCTTGTTGCCCACAGAGAAGTAGCTCTGCAGCGTTTAACATCCTGCTTTGCAGAGGCTGCTGAGCTTTTTGGTCTGGAAGTCAGCTTGAAGAAAACAGAAGTTTTGTATCAGCCTGCACCTCAGGAAGTCTCCCATCATCCCCATATCACCATTCGTGAAACAGCACTCAAATCAGTCCAGGAATTTAATTACCTGGGAAGCATCATCTCCTCGGACGGTAAGATTGATGCAGAAATAGACAACAGGTTAGCAAAGGCATACAGAGCCTTTGGTAAACTCCATAAAAGAGTGTGGCAAAACAAACATCTGAAGAAAAGTACAAAGTTCAGCGTTTACAGAGCCATTGTACTGTCTACTCTTTTATATGGATCTGAATCCTGGGTCATTTACCAGCACCACTTGCGTCTCTTAGAACGCTTCCATCAGCGCTGCCTCCGTACAATCCTAAACATCCACTGGACTGACTATGCGACCAACATTTCTGTCCTTGAACAGGCAGCAGTCACGAGCATTGAGGCCATGCTGCTGAGAACTCAGCTGCGCTGGGCAGGGCACATCTCCAGGATGCAGGACCACCGCCTCCCTAAGATCGTGCTCTATGGAGAACTTGCCATTGGCTGCCGCAAGAGAGGAGCCCCGAAGAGGAGATACAAGGACTGCCTGAAACAATCCCTCAGCCTTGGTCATATTGATCACCACCATTGGCCTACCCTGGCCTCCAGTCGGGAGGCCTGGAGACACACCATCTATAACGCTGCTGCTGCTTTTGAGAACATATACAGGATCACTCTCGAGGAGAAAAGACAACGCAGAAAGAATCGCCTCTCGTTGATATCACCTGGGGAGTCTTTCTGCTGTACCTTCTGCAACTGGACTTGTTTATCTCGCATTGGCCGTTTTAGCCATCAGTGCGCTTGCAGCAAGCGTGGGTAGAGGCCCTCTCAAATCTTCATTTGCGAAGCCTAGCCATGAAACTGATATTCAGCATGCACTGAAGTAATTGAAAGCCACCTTTCAAATTCCCCTCTATTTTATTTCCTGCAGCACAAGTGGTGGAAAGGTAATATTGTTTCCTACTTAAGGAAGAACTTAGACTTTTTTTCTTTTTTTCAGTCAGGACAATACCTCACACCCGTGGACAAATGGTACTATCATTGGTACTGCTGAAATTGTTGTGGCAGTGAGGTCCATACAGAACACTCAATGGACAGCAGGTTAGAGTACTTTCCTTATGTTTTTAATCTATCAGCCTAAATCTGGTTACTTTGATGGAGTGAAGCACAGCTGCATAAATCTTCAGGAACAGGAATCTAGTAGTTATACTTCATGCTTCATTTCATCTACAGAAAACACCCATCAGAAGTATGGAGAGCCACCAAACCTGATTATTTTACCCACTTCATTTTCACTTGTTTTCTGCTTAGATAATTTGAGATGAATGTTGATACCAAAGCATACGCTTTATGGAACAAATGTAAAACTGCATTGATTAATAGGAAAAATTCCATTGTTTCTGTTTGCTTTCATTTTCAGAATAATATCAAGACTGATGTGTTCATAAGCAGTTTACAAGGGAGACTGTAGGTAGCTAGGACAGGAAGTTAACATGTCAATTTCTTTTGGCTCTTCCTCAGTCCCTAGGAAACAATAAACTGCTTCAATCTCTGTGGTGCTAAATGTATTGAACTGAACATTCTCTTTAATTGGTTTTGGCACCAAAATGAAAGTTTACTAAAGAAGCAAGGACCTAGGTCATCAAAGGTGCTGTTGATCCTTACAGGCTGTTAAGAAAAGTATATACTTAGTTCTGAAAGGAGCAGAGTGTGGTGGCTGTAAGATTAACTCCTACCACTCAGTACATGGCTTCTTGCAGCACTTCAGATTGCTCTCAGCTTTCTTAGGTGATGGGACCCACACATTTCATAGGATCACAGAATACGCAGAGTTGGAAGGGACCCACAAAGACCATCCTTAGTCCAACCCTTAGCCCTGCACAGGACCATCCCCAAGAGTCACACCACGTGCCTGAGAGTATTGTACGAATACTTCTTGAACTCTGTCAGGCTTGGTGCTTCTCTGGGGAGACTGTTCCAGCACCCAAAATCCTCTGGGGGAAGAACCTTTTTCTAATATCCAACCTAAACCTCCCCTGACACAACTTCAGGCCATTACCTTCTGTCACTGGTCACCAAAGAGAAGAGATCAGTGCCTGCCCCTCCTCTTTCCCTCAAAAGGAAGTTGTAGACTGCAATGAGGTCTCCCCTCTGTCTCCTCCAGGCTGAACACACCAAGTGACCTCAGCTGTTTCTCATATGGCTTTCCCTCAAGGCTCTTCACCATCTTTGTTGCCCTCCTTTGGACACTCTCTAAGAACCTAGTATCTTTCTTATATTGTGGTTTTCAAAACTGCCACAATATTCAAGGTGAGGCTGCCCCAGTGCAGAGCAGAGCAGGACAATCACCTCCCTTGACCAGCTGGGGATGCTCTGCCTGATTCTTCCCAGGATACAGTTGGCCCTCCTGGCTGCCAAGGCAATGCGGACTCATATCCAACTTGCTGTTGATCCCCAGGTCCCTTTCCGTGGAACTGCTTATCAGCATCTCATTCCCCAGTCTGTACAAACATCCAGGATTGCCCCATCCCAGGTGCAGAATGTGGCACTTTCCCTTGTTGAACTTCATATGGTTGGTGATTGCCCAGTCCTCTAATTTGTCAAGGTCTCTCTACAGGACCTTCCTGCCTTCAAGGTAGTCAACAGCTCCTCTCAGTTTTGTATTGCCTGCCAACTTGCTTAGTATCCCTTCCAGTCCTGCATGCAAGTCATTTACAAAGATGTTGAGCACAGGGCCTGAGATGGAGCCCGGCAGAACCCCACTAGTGACAGGTCACCAGTCTGATGTTACCCCAGTCACTGTTACCCTCTGTGCTCAACCTGTGAACCAACTGCTCACCCACCACATGATGTGTTTATCCAAGTGAACATTTAGTCAGAAGGATCCCATGAGAGACAGTATCAAAAGCTTTACTGAAATCCAAAATGATTACATCAACTGGTTTCCCTTGATCAACTAGATGGGTTACCTTGTCGTAAGACTAAATGAGTTTTGATAAGCCAGACTTTCCTCTTATGAAGCTGTGCTGGCAGTGATCAGTGACCGCATTGGCTTTCAGGTGTTTTTCAATACCTTCCAGAATAATCTTCTCCATAACTTTACCAGGTACTGAAGCAAGACTGACAGGCCTGTAGTTTACAGGATCCTCCCTCTTGCCCTTCTTGAAAATTGGCCAGCTTCCAGTCAGCTGGAACCTCTCCAGATTCCCAAGACCTCTCAAAAATCATTGACAGAGGTTTTGCAATGACATCACCAGCTCTTTAAGGATTCTAGGATGAATCTCATTCTCTAAAGTTCAAAATAATGACTTCAGGCTATTTTATTAGGTTGAGTTCTTTCTCCTTACACTGATTAGTGTGAAGTCTAGAGAGAGCAATAAGGTGATATTCAAAGTTACATTTTATTAGGAAGTTATAATAATTTCAAAAAAACCCTTACACACAAATACATGAAAACTTAAAAAATAACAAGATGTGTGAATTAAGTTTCCTATTAATATAAATGCACGCATGTGTGGCTGGGTAAAGTATAAGTGCTTTCTCTGTGAGTGTACAAACTGATCAAATAAAAATACCCCAAACAACAAGACTTGCATGCCAGAAAACATGTAGCTTCAAAGGGTTTAATTTCATATATCCAGCTTATGCTGGATTATACTGAATACTAAAACTGAGTTTGCTATTGGCAAGGATGACAAATATATTTGTTATAGTAAAATAATACAGTATCACAAAAAATTGCCAGCAGAGTATTAAGTTTCCCAGAGAGATCCGTCGTCATGAATAATTGCACTGAACCTTTAGGCTATTACTAGTAGCTAGCACTATTTTCTTTCTTATTTCAAAATATTTATAATTTTCATAACAAAAATCCATTCTATCCCCAACACAAAACATTCATTGAATGCAGATTTAAGATAACACAATATTGGATTTTAATTGTGCAACTTTACTTTCCTCTTTTTACTTATATACCAGAAAGGTTAAAAAAAAATTATATGAATGATCTGTGCAAAATGGGAAGATTTATGCAATAACTGATACCTCATGCAAAAGAGGAAAAAATATTTTTAAAAATTACGGTCTAAGAAGCCCTGAGTCAATAATTTCATTGCAAAGGTGAGGAACATGAGTGCTCCAAGTTCTTCCTATATACTGGTGCATATTCAAACCAGTCCAGTATTTACTTAAAACATATTTTAAAATAGGCAGTTTGTGCAGTTTCTCACATACACATCTTCTATGCACTTTCTTTCAGCAGACTGTATTTAATACTCAATTTCATTTAAGCTGTCAGGATATCCTGATGAGAACTGAATTTCTTCCACTTCTAGAATACAAAAAAGGAGGAAATACCATAATTATTTGTATTTTATTCATACATAAGAATGCATAAAGCAGAATGTAATTAGCATGCTGGATTTAAATGGGACTGCAATATGGTTTTTTAAAAATGTTAAAACCACTTTACTAGTCAAGTCTAAGCAGGATCTCACATTGCATTAGAAAGCGAAAATTCTGCACTGACCCAGCAGTCACTAAATACTAAATTCAAACCCATTCAATGGGAAGTCAAGGGAAGAAGTATCATCCATCTAATTACAACAAGCACTGTGAATTGCCAGATGTCTCTTACGAGGTATATTTAAACTTACCTAAACAGGGTCCTGCCTGGAACAGAACATCATCAATAGCAGTGTCACTTCTCATTGAAACACCACGGATCACCTCAAAAATAATCTGTAAAGGTAAGACACAGCTTTTCATGAATGCCACGGGTGGACAGACTAAGAAAAATGATAGGCATGCAACCTATTCAAGGATCTAGTGTGTCCTGAAAGCCTGCTTCTTGGAAAGAAAGTTCATCAGTGGATAGGTTGCCCTGGTCAGAGCAATTCAGTGTGTGCTATGCTGAAGTAAGCAAGTATGGTCTCCCTCTCCTTTTTCCTTCCCTTTCCTTTCCTTCCCTTTCCTTTCCTTAGTAATTTTCAGGCTCTTAAAGGAAAATGATTAAAAAAACTCCACATCTGTGGATGGTGATTAGCACAATTTTGTGCCCAGTGCTGTTTTAGGCATTAGCAATTTCAGCTTCCTTTTTCACAGAGAAACTGAACCAGGCTTTGTTTCTGGCAATACTGAAGTTGAAACCAAAGAGCTCTGGATTTGCATCATCCCTTGTCTTTGGTGCCACCTTAGAAAGACCACCCTACAAGAAGCTGACATTTTTTTTATCATACTTCAGTGGCTCTGCCAAATCTAGATAGAGCTATAGACAACTAAAGGAAAAGAGCAGCCAGGCAGAAAGGGATCTGGGGGTTCTGATTGACAGGAAGCTAAACATGGCCACCAGCAGTGTGCCCAGGTGGTCAAGAAGGCCAATGGCATCCTGGCCTGGATCAGGAACAGTGTGGCCAGCAAGAGTAGGGAAGTGATTCTTCCCCTGTACTCAGCACTGGTGAGGCCACACCTTGAGTATTGTGTTCAGCTCTGGGCCCCTCAGTTCAGGAAGGACATTGAGGTGCTGGAGCGGGTCCAGAGAAGAGCAACAAGGCTGGTGAAGGGACTGGAGCACAGTCCTATGAGGAGAGGCTGAGGGAGCTGGGGTTGTTTAGTCTGGAGAAGAGAAGGCTCAGGGGAGATCTCATTACTCTCTACATCTACCTGACAGGAGGCTGTAGCCAGGTGGGGGTCAGTCTCTTCTCCCAGGCAACCAGCAGTAGGACAAGAAGGCATGGGCTTAAGCTTTGCCAGGGGAGGTTCAGGTTGGATATCAGAAAGAAGTTCTTTCCAGAGAGAGTGATCAGGCATTGGAATGGCCTGCCCAGGGAGGTGGTGGATTCACTGTCCCTGGAGGTTTTTAAGATGAGGCTGGATGTGACACTGAGTGCCATGATCTCGTAATCACAGTAGGGTTGGATCAAGGGTTGGACTTGATGATCTTGGAGGTCTCTTCCAACCCAGTTAATTCTAAGATTCTATGATTCTATGAAATTGCACAAGTGATCTAAATTAACTCTGCCACTACTGACAAGAAATGATGTGAAATAACATTTAAATATTTTTAAAAATTATTTTGAATTAATAACTATTTTAATACTTGCAAGCAATTCATTTTTTGAATAAGTTCATTTCAGTTTTCCACTTTGATTGCTCCTTTCTTGTTTTTCTTACCTGGTAGTTTCTATCACTTTCATATTCTATCAGTCCTCTTAGCCATGAGATGCTTTGTTCCCCAGTCCTCCTCCACAAAGGAATCTCTTCATCATCCCCTTCCTTTTTTAGATAAACACTTAATAATCCAGTCCCAGCTCCATACATGTGATAGAAAAATGTCAAGCACTGTTTTCCAGATATTCCTCTTAGTAATCTTGAAACAAGATATGCTCTCTGTCCATAGACCATGTCAGATGCCTCTATATACATGTAGTATCCTTAAAAAGATATACAAGCAAATATTAGCGAAGTAAAATATTTGGCATGTTCATTATGCTCAACATGCTCATTATATTAAAAAAGCTATGACAAGCTATTTTGATAAAAATTTTTAAGATGTAGACTGCAGTGTTTGTGAACTGTAATATTTGTGATACGGTAATAACAGTGGACTGTAATAATGGTGGGTTTGAATTCGTAAAATCAAGAGCTGATTCCATCTTTCTAACAAAAGTTTATTATACTGTACTATGAGCTGCAGGCTTTAGTGTTTAATTCAAGGAGTTTTAAAGCATAATGAACAGCAAAGTCTTTGCAATGGATTGCACTATGCTTGGTATAAATCACCTTGGAAATTCTCCAACACACTGTATTAATTTTTTTTTTTAATGGACTTACTCTGTAGATAATCTTCCTTTTCACCCTTTCTCTTGACTGCTGCTTACCACCAAACTACAACCTGGCTTAGAGGTGATGTCTTCAGTAGGGAGTTTTGCAGAAAATAGGACTCTTGACTATCATGACAGACATCTCAAGTATCCACTGGCTGCTGTTGCTGCTCCTAGCTTTTCTTATGTCTCACTTATCCTTGGGAATCCCCTCTGCCTCTGAAGGCAATCTCACCCCCAGGACCTGTGGCGGCAGAAGGGCAGATAACACTACAAAAAGGGAGCAGGGGGACTATGTGAAGAGTTGCTGCAATGTCTGAGTTCACTGTCTGCTCTTGGAGTGTACATATCAAAACACAGAACAGCTGCCTTATGCAGCAGATGGGACACGGGGATGTTCCTTAGTCTTCTGACACACCTCAGTTTGCTCCAACAGGCAATAGCTGAAAGATGGATTGGGGAGGCTGCAATAAATTTGCCTTACAGCGATTAATGGCTTGAACACTTAAGAACTTGGTTGTATCTGATGAAATATATAGCAACAGAAAAGAATACAAAGCAAGAAAATACCATAGCTGCTCCTAAACCAGGAATGCACTCTGATAGCAATCAATTCATTGGAATTCAGACACAGCTCCATGTACATCTGAGGGTACAATTTAGGCAATGGTTGGCACTGATGCAACTTTCTGTGCACTTGCTCATGCCCATGGGGACTCCACTCACTCAAATACTTTAAAATACACTAATGAGGTTGTGGAGCGGGTTTTCAAGACTAATGGCCTGTGTGATCTTTTTTTATTTGCCATGGTTTTTTCTAAGTTTGAACCTGAAGGTGTTCATGAAGAAGAGATCCCAACCACTTGCACAACTTGCTGCAAAGAGATCTGTGAGGTAAGGAATCAACATTGTCACAGGCGAGAGTTAAAAGGCTGTCAAAGTTCTAAAGTCAAGCTATCAGCTTCACATCTGAGACTACTTAATGATCTACATAAACCAAAAATAGGTGTAAAGTCAGTTTCAGGAAATATTCACAAAAGCTAGAGTTAGGAAGGAGCTTTTTCTGCGGGCTCTAGGGAGCCATCCTGTTCTTTTACCTCCCAAAGGAAAGGGCTACTTTAGGACATGACAACAGAATTATCCACATGGTTTGCAGATATTTCAGATTAAACATCATGTTTTCAAAACCATTCATGGGTCCCTATGAAATGTGTTTACTTCATTGGATTAATATCTATTCAGAACAGAAGCATAGAAACTTTATTGGCGAGGTTATAATTTCAAAGTATTTTTTATTAACTTCCAACTTCTGCTCTGAAAGTTCAATGTGGAGCTTAACTCACCTACCCCAGTAGTGTGGTCTCCTTTCGGACCAGTGTAAGAAGTGGGAGTTGGACCCCTCCTCCTGTGCCAACTCCCACGGCCTCTCTTCTTCTGGGTAAACACACACTCATCTTTTTCAAAAGTACACTCTCCAGGGCTGAGCCGAATTGAATCTGTAAGGAGAGAACATAGTTTAAAACTTCAAATATATTAGACTTATATATGGAGAGATTACACAAGAAATGTATTGCATTTACTCACCTGCTGAAATAAATTACATCTACCTAGCAATGCTTACAATAGTCACAAGCTTATAAAAGCTAGCTTCAAATGACATATGAAATGTAATTTCATTTTCTTCACAGCTTTGAGGTAATCTGTGCCGTAGTCTAGCTCAGTAACATGTACTAAGATTCTTGAAAACATTTCATATAGTTTATTACTCTTAATCCACAACAGCGGCTTGGACTAGATGATCTTAGGGGTCTTTTGGTTTTAATGATTGGACACAATGATCTTAGAGGTCTTTCCTACACTTAGCAATTCTATGATTCCATAACAGGCTCTACCACTGTAATTTTCTTCACTGTTGTGGCAGCCCAAGGCAATCAGTGAGCTCCAGAATATATAATGTGGATATTTAATGAGTCTTGTCAAAGACTGGAGTTTCTGTAATCCAAAATCAAGTGCTACATTTAGCTCTCCTATATTCCCTTGGCAGCAGATTCTACTACAGCATTCAACAGGCCACAAAGCTGTAATTACTAGAGTATTTTCATTATTTCAGTTCTATTAGATAATGCAAAAGGGAGAAAGTTGATAACTCAGGTGCTTGCCAGGAAGCTTCTGTCAGCTTTTTTGCTGTAGCCTGGTTTTGTTGTTCAGAAGTAGACACTAAGCTGCTTTCTCTTTTTGAAAAGGAGGATGCTTTGATATCTCTGGGGCATATTTCAGGCATTTGTTTTGCTTCCATCAGAGACAGCCATAGTATGACTATATACCCAGTTACCAGCTCTGCACCTTTGGTTCCTTTTCCAATTACTTAGAAACTACAGAAAGGCAAAACATAACTGTCAAAAATACTTTAGAAGAATGGCATCTTGTTTTATACATGTAACTTCTCTCTGTTTTGTAATAGTTGAATGCATGAAAGCAAATCAAAAGAGGTCATTAAAGAGCTATTAGAACCATTGCAAAGACATGGCTTTATTCTGAAGAAGAATGGGATTACAGATTATGCCTGCCTCATGAGAATGGTTTCTAAATTAGTCTACAATCGTTGTACTGTCAACTTCAAAATGCCCCAGAAGAGGGAGTTTGGTGAGTTCACACAGGTTAGCCTGCACATGTCAGAGGGTAAAGTCTTGCTGAAAAACAGTCTGTTACTCCCACCACAGGAGAGGGAGTTGGACTGGTCTTATCTATCTTCACTAGAGAACTGCAGCTCAAGTAAGGGACTCTGTCTTTGCCTTGCACAACTGTACTTCTGGACCAAAAAAGAATAATGCTGTCTCTTGAAAATATTGCTTTCAGGTCCAGTCCTAGTTTCTCAAAACCCATTTTGAAAACTACGTTTCCCTCCGTTGGACTTTTATTTTAAATTGGTCCCAAAAGGACCAATCACCTACATTCAGCTTCACTGGAGTCAGCAAAGTTTATTAGGAGTTAGCTGGTACCCCTGTGAGCAAAAACTGGTTCCTGCTGTTATGTATGCCACTTTGCAAAAATGGGATTCATGCAATACTTACTGGAAAAAAAGAAAATACAGGAAAGCACAGTGGGATGAAGGCAGCTGTAGGATAGGCTTGGAAAATGCAGGTATGTGATGAACTCTTACTAAAAAGGATACCAGCAGTTGGATGACAAATACACATGGTCTTACCAGCAGCCTGACAAGTTCCCAGGCTCAGTGATACATCATCCAGTGCCACAAGTCCACAGTCCCAAAAGCTTTTACACAAGCTGACAAAGACAACCTGCAATACATAAAGGAATTTCCAGTTATCTAACAAAACCTGGCACTGCTAAGAGTCTGAAATTTTAGGGGTTTTTCCAAATGCACAAAAAATGTTGAAATCTACAGAACAGAAATAATGATCCACTTTCTCTTGGCACTTACTAATACTGCCTATGACTGAAATTTCAGTTCCAGGGGAATTAGATGTACGTTTTCAACGAACAGAAAGTATTTTCTCACTTTTATAGGCAAGTTATGTATCTCTGTATGTAATTTCCATTTTATTAGGAGACTGTTTTTTTGCATATGAGAAAACACGACTTACTGAGGTTGTTGTGGGTTTTTCCTCCACAAAACCCAACAAATATCCACAGCTATTTTACCCTTAAAACCAAGAAGTTTATCTATGGAAAAATAAATTTTAAAGAGTAATGCAGACTGATGAGCAAGAGAAATGACCACGGCAAAAAGCAAAGAAAAATAGAGATAAAATGAAACTACTGCATAAAATGAGATTATTCATAAATTATGCAAGGCCATGGTATCATAGAGCAGGAGACTGGGAATGCTATGCACAATACACAGTGTTCATCTGAGTTTGTGAAGATTAATAAAAACATCCAAGATGTTTTATTTGACTACACATTAATTCTGCCATGAAAAAATACAAGTCACTCATAAGATAACAAAATAAAATGTAAAGAAACTGTAAGACTCCAGTTCCCTGTCTCCGAAGGCTGACATGCATCTGCTTGAATTACAAAAAAACATGTTTAGATTTATTTTGTGAAAATACTGCTGGCGGTTTTCTTGGCCTGTCTACTCCAAACCATCTGTCTGACCATTGGGGTTATGACCATAATTTGGGAGGAGCTTTTCAAAACAATTCCTTTGTGATGAGGTCTGTGCTAGTGACTGGAGATGGAATAAGTGTCACTTCTAACAGTTTAATATTCTGGAGCAACTGTGAACACCTCTGTTACATATGTGAGAATGATCAGCTCCCAGTAGGTCCTGAAATTGTGCAGGATCCGCTGCTCCACCTGGATCCTTACAGATTTATGTGGCCTCGTAGGATTCATCATCACTGCTGTCTTAGCCTTAAGGTTTAACAGGACAAAAAGTGTTTCCTACTTTTAAGTTCATTCTCAGGAAACAGGTGCAATCTATTAAAAATGGTAGTATCTCCTGGAATAAAGTATAAAATAAGATACTGATGTTGGGTGGGTGTCAATCACAGAATTTTAATAAATGCATTCTGGTGAACACTTGTAATACGCTAAAGACATATTATGGTCCTAAACCCACAAATCTTCAGACAATCACACATGTAAGGGTGAGGTCAGTCCTCATTTGTGAAACATTTCCACACCACAGAATCGTTTTAAGTGATGCTTTCCTATTGACATCAGTGGGAGCAGGATCAAGTTCTTTATTCTTAGATTGTAGTAATTTGTTCCATACAAGGCATGTAATTACACACTGGATACTGTGGAAGACACTCCATTTCAAAGACATCACGACAATAACTGTGACCTCTCAAAGGCCATTGAACCAGTAGTCTTTGTACAACCACAGTATTGATCTGCTTCAATGACACTTATAAACGTGTTCAGCTTTGCCATCTGTAGCTTAAGCTTCACTACTTCTCCACTCGACTTTTGTGGTGTTACGTGACACACTGCCATGTGCAAACTTTGTAAGTGCACAGGGATGGAGTGGAGGAACTTGTACTTGGGAGTGGGGAGTTTCCGGTATTAGCTATAGCTAATGTACTGAAATTGCTTATAGTTCCCTCAGCTTATTTCACGGTTATATTCTTGATTTAATTTTGAGGCAATGGACTAGAAGATTTTCATTCACAGGTTGCGTTTATTCACTCTTCTTTTGTTCTAAATATCCTTTCCTGTCATAAAGGGAAATATCTGACTATTTGAACTTTACCTGCCAAAACTGTATCAATTTGGATTTACTCAGCAGCTCATTTTCCCCCTATGTCAGATCTCTGAACCCTTCCTACAGTCTAGATAGAAGTAATCTCATGATACTTTGCATTTGTTCTGTTTTAAATAAAACATTTGCTAGGTTAATTCTTACAAAATTCTTCTCTTCTTGCAGAAAAGAATAGGGGATTCTTTGTGCTCAGCTTGCACTTCCTTCATAAAGCATGGCAGATAAACAACATACTAATTGTTTCAAGCTAGGTAACAAATATTCCTGGACTTGCATGCTATCTTGGAGGCTAAACTGAAAACATTAGCCAGTGCAGGCAGTTGTTGCCTGTGTTACTGGAAAATAAAACATATTTCTCATGTTTCTTTTTGTTCCAATAACAGGACACAGCTAGGGCATCAGTTTCCTTCCAAATTATTACTCTACTTTATGGAAGCTGGTTTGTTTATTTTGCAGTGCTTAATCAATGCTCCTGGCCTTCAACCTCAAAGTAGCAATAATCAGTTCTTGGCATTTATCCTGGATTATATCAGGTATGGGCAATGCCAGATGAGAACAGCTGGCAGAGCAAGCTTCTGCCAAGCCACCTCGTTGGGTTGTGCTGCAGGCACTGGGTGAGGTGGAAGGGACTTCTCCTTTGCTCTCTGCATCTCTACAGGCAGAGGTGAATTAAAACATATGCATATGAAGTTGATTTGCTTTTGGAGAGAAATAGTAGGACATACAATAGGGTAGCTCCAGGGTAAGGAAGAACTAATGGGAAAGCTTCTAAAAGGAGGTTTGGAGACAGCTGGACTCAGAACAGGAGAAAAGGAGAGATTATTCCTCTGGATCCCTATATTTTCTGTGTATTTTCTTTCCTTGTTTATCCCAGGAAGTGTAGCTCTTGCTCAATTAGAGAGCCAGATCAGCCAAACAAAAGAAAAAGTGTGAAAACAGCCCAGTCTGGTTAATTAAAAGCAAGCTATGCCTCTGCAGCAAAGTAATTTACCTGATTTCACTCTAGTGAATATTCCTGCATTCAAACTACACACTGTACATCATGTAGACACAAATCTTGGTCTAAGACAAAACTTAGACACATTTAGATTTGAGTTCTTGAAGGAGAAGGGCAGTTATAATGGAGTCTGAAGGGGGGTTTTGTGAGAAGCTACTGTTGTAAGTTCACACAGTGACAAAAAACTCAGTATTTTTAAATAAAAAATAATTCAAACATCAGAAACAAAAGTGTGACATGACACAAAGAAGCAGTCAAGATGTTTTCACAAGACAGGGAACCTGACTTTTCAGTCAGTTATGCAAGCAAACAGCTGTATAAGCATGCAAGCCAGGGACCACCGCTGGCACAGAGAATAGGAGAACCATTCTGACTGTCCCAGGGCTGTTCAATACACTGTAGACCAAATTACTTCCAATTAGCTTAATTAAACTATATTTTCTTTGGCTTGAACAGTGAGAAACTCAGGTATCAAGAACACAAGTGAGCTATTAAGTCAAAATTAGAATGTCTTCAAGCTTCTGTCATTTGAAATAAATTGATTTAAAAAGCCACTTGCCAGGCAAGTTCAACTTTTTGCCAAATACAATGAGCTCCTGCAGGGGAAAAAGAATGGGCTATGAAAGCTTCTGTATAAATAATTGGATAACATTGGTAATAAGCTTGTGACTGTTGAACCAATATTTTTGAAAATCCTTCCTGTCCCAAGGCAGAAACAAACAATGAAAGAGAAACATAAAGTCTGACAGAATAACCTAGCACCACAGACTGCTTATGCTACATCTCTTCCCACTGGATTGCACTGCCTAGGAGAGCACACTGCCTAGTAGGGCACACTGCCTGCACACAAATGTATACAGGACACCTATATTCCCATCTGTCCTCCAGCACCTTCCAAGATTTCTACAAATCTACTGATAGGACTCTATCCTCATTTCAGCGAAACCATTTCCTTGGCTCTCTTTATAAGAGGGAAAGATTCTTGCCTTTACACCAAGGAGTGTTCTCAGAGGAGGTGGCACTATAGTATCATAATATTGAGTACCCAGAACAGAAATTGAGCAAAAAAAAAAGTGTCAGTTAAGTATCACAGATACCAAAAAGCGGTATGTAGTATTTCATGCAACATATTACCTTGCTTAGCTACTGTGAAGACTACTTAGGTGTTGCTTCCTTACCTGAAAAACTTTCTCAGTTTCCAGTATGTTGTTTCTATAACCATATGTCAAGCACCACAGTCAGTAAGGTTGCACACTTTGCAAGCACTATCCTACTATTTACGAACTCAACTGCTCTTATTTTAAACATACATTTCTAGTGACTGTTCTTCAAGAAGTTTCTTATTTTAGAGGTAAGAGAATGAAGGACAGATGGGCTATACTATAAAACCACAGCTCATTCCAAACTCTTTAGGGTGCACACCTTATTGTGGGAAGATCAATTAAGGGTTTTGTTAGAACAGTACCAAAAAGCGCTTTTATTTGACAAGTGAGAGTTTTTCAGAGGAGGAGGAGGAAGAGATGAGAATGTCTGCCCTCCTCCACTTGGTGCCCGACTAGAGAAGTGTGTCATTCATGCTAGTGACTCAGTCACAGGGATCTAGAACTTCATCATATATCCAAGATTGCTTTAGTCATTTAACTATCATAGAATCATAGAATCAGATGGGTTGGAAAGGACCTCTCAGATCATCAAGTCCAACCCTTGATCCACTACCACCACAGTTACTAGACCATGGCACGGAGTGCCACATCCAGTCTCTTCTTAAAAACCTCCAGGTACAGAGAATCCACCACCTCCCTGGGCAGCCCATTCCAATGCCTGATTACCCTCTCTGTAAAGAATTTCTTCCTAATATCCAACCTAAAGCTCCCCTGGCAAAGCTTAAAATCATGCCCTTTTGCCTTACTGATAGTTGCCTGGGAGAGGAGACTGATGCCCACCTGGCTCCCCCCTCCTCTCAGGTAGCTGTAGAGAGTGATGAGGTCTCTCCTGAGCCTCCTCTTCTCCAGGCTAAACAACCCCAGCTCCCTCAGCCTCTCCTCACAGGACTTGTGCTCATGTCCCTT